TGCAATTGGATGTCGTTTCTTTGAATTTATTAGCAAAGATATGATTCAATGGATGATTATGTGTGAAAATGGATATAGAAATGTAATTGAAAATTAGTAGACCAATTCTAGCATTAATTTTAGGTTTTATACATGTAGGGAGGCCCAATTTATGGGCCTCAAAGTGAAAATTTTGAAGTCCAAATCCATGGAAGTAAATTTGAAAAGAAATTTTGCATAGGTCATATTCATTGTAGAGAGAACATGTTTCACTGCAATGAAGCAAAATTTTAGCAAAATACATAGTTTTGATCTTCAGCAAACTTTTAGGGTTTGGAGATCTCATTTTTAACCATTCCTTACTTCTAATAGTTGCAAAATGTCTAAGGAGAGGAAAAAAAGCCAAAAGGGGGCTTAGAAGCTTGAGTTTAATAGGAAATAAAGGGTTTAACTCAAGATTACTTTGATTAAGCATTTCTTCTCCTTCTTCTCTTTACTTTGATGTAAATATTACTTATTTATGCTATCATGAGAGCCATATATGGTTGATTTTCTCTTAATGTAGGGTAGCTATTATAACATCCTAAAACTTCAAATTTGGAAAAAGTTAATTAATTAAGGGATAAATTAGTTAAAAATATGATTAATTTATTTAATTATGTTTTTGGGTTGCTAATTGGATTTTTAGGTCATTTTTGGCCATAAATTGAGATAGGATGAAAGTCAGATCATGTTGGGAGGCATCGAGGAGAGCAAAATCCACTTGTTGCTTGCTACATCATGAGTCGTGGCTTGTGTGGCATGCGCTGCGGTGCACGGCACAGCAGGAAACTTAAAATTTCAGGAATCATCAAAAATTGATAGATTTTAGGGTGGAAAACCTAGAACACGAAGGGGACAACTTTGGGCACTACTAGGGCATCAATTTATGAGCTTTTTGAAGATAATTTGAGCCTCCAAACTCTTGAGTAAGTTTCCTACCCTTCTTCTCTACCTTTTCATCTCATTTTCTATGGGATTTGGAAGAGTGAGAATTTGGTCTGATTAGATTAAGCCAGGAATCAATGTTTTAAAGGTTTCTATTGACTCTAAAGGTTTGATTTAGGCTTATTGATCTTGGATATGTGGTAATATAAAGCTACTTTGTTGTTTAGTAAAAGTTAGATCAAGCCTTAACTTGATCATAGGATTTTGAAGTGTGATAAGTTGAGATATTAAGTTTTATGTTGTGATAGAGTTAGAAGGAGACTTAAAGGGATGATATGAATAAATTATAATCTTGACAAGTCTATTTGTTGAGAATATGAGTGAGAAGTGGGAGAATTGGGAGGTTAATATTAGCTAATGGTGCTTGTGTTAATTGAAAATTAACATATAGTACTTGTTGATGTAGATTGTGGTGTGAGAAGACTTACCTTGCCACATAAAGAAATTTAGTACCATGGGTAACCGTTTTAGTAACAAAAGGGTTGAGATAACTAGATAATTTGCATTATTTATTACCTTGTATAAGTTATTCTCAAGTTTCTTTTCTATGAATTGTTGGGTATATATGTATAAATTCTTTAAAGGTTAACTATTTTAGAAAATGAGTGGAGTATTAGTTTGTGAAATTCTATATTTTTGAAGTAAATGGTAAGATTTGTTATATTTGTTGGGAAAGTTGCTTATGCATGGTCAAGTAAAGATATGTAGTGAAATGTGGCATATTAGAGGGTGGGAGGTCACCCTAGTGGAGATCGTGAAGATTAAGTCCATATGGCATTACTGGCACCTCAGGACACGAAGTACAGCACTTACTCTCCTTAGTGCTCGAAAATGGGTGCGATGTTAGAGACTTATTCTCCTTAGCACCCAAAAGGGTACGGAGTTGGAGATTATGCTCCTTAGCATTCGTAGGATGTGATGTTGGAGTAACGACACCCTAATTACTTGTAATAGGGGAAAATAGTAGTCTAGAAGTGGTTTAGGACACCTTGGTCGGGTAGTCCTACCATGGATGGTGAGCTTGGGAACCATACATGTGGTTTGGTTTTGTGAAATAGCCTACTGGTTCGGTCGAGAGTATTGGAGGACTGGATGGTTAGGGATCATGCATGCAATTTGTGGTGATCTTATATGATGTGATTATGTTACTTATTTTAAGGCTTGTTTAAACTTGGCTTGTTAATCAATAATGTAGATTATCTTAGTTACTAAGATTTTTATCTCACCCTGTGGTTACCATTTTACAGGTTCTACAGTTGAGACTGAGCGAGGGGAGGAATCGGGCAAAGATTTGTAGATTTGCTACATCAAATAGTAATGCCCGATTTTAGTTTGAGTGGTGTATATAAACTTATATGAATGATATTATATGTTGCCAACTAGGAATGCATATCATTGTGATTAGTTGCACTTGTTTCATACTATGTTATTTTGTATTTTAGCCTAATATGGTATATGATGTGAATATATGGGAATTTTTTTGGTGAAGGGCTAAAATACTAATACAAGTGTAAGGAATGTTTTATCTATGTGGTGATAATGTAATTGTAATGTATTATGTAGCAATAGAGGCTAAATAGGGCCTGTAGTGTTGATTGTGCATTTTGGCCATATTGGGTGAAAGGGCCATTGAGTGGCCAAATTTTAGATTTGGTATGTTTTTGTGTGTTTGAATGCTCACTCAAGTATATTTTGGTCTATTGGACTTAGTTCAAGCCTTACAATGGGTTAATGGTATAAGTTATGAGTTTTTGGTACTTTGATGGTTGAAAATTTCTTTGAAAAACTAACTTTTACATTCGATTTTTTAAAATTCTCATATAGTGTCAAACCATAACAAAACTTATACCATTAGTTAGCTTATTGAATAAGCTTCGCGTGGGCACTTGAATCACTCCAATTGGACATCGGATGTGAAAATGGCGCGTGTTCGAAGTTTATCCAGAAAAGTTATCATAATAGCATTGCTATTATAGATAGGTGGGCCACGGCGCATTTCGCACAAGTCATGGCACATGATACAGTGAGCAAACTTGGCTTTCTATACCACATGCCATGGTGCACGGACCACGAGCCACGGCGGATGGACCAAAACACTCAAAAATGACATTTTTGGCTCTGTTTTGAAATGGTTTGCTTCCCAAAAATTTTTTATGCTTCTAATACCTTTATAAATCATTATGTTTCAGCTCAAACTATCAATATGAAGGGTTTTCATGGGATCCCAAATATTTCACAATTATTTTTAAAGGATTATTAGTTTTAACCTTTATATTTATAATGTGAGCTTAAGAGCAATCTTTACTCCTAATTATGATTGTTTGTTATGATTGTGTGGTGAATTTTGGTAATGTTAAGGTGGACATTACATTTTGGTATCAGTTTCTCGGGTTATAAGATCTAGTTGTGGTGATGTGTTTATTGCATTCATTCTTATTAGTTGGCAACTTTATGTACACAACTCTTTCCCTTTGTCTCATTTCCTTTATTTCTCACTAATTCCCCTTTTCCACTTGGTTTCTTCCTTAAAAGGGGAGAAAATGGTTAGAAGAAGTACTCGAAATGCCCATAATTTAACGGAGAATGATGGGCCTATGCCAGAGGTATAGCCAGAGATAACAAGTGGAACAAGAACAAAGGCCCCAGGGTAATGATGCAATTCTTGAAGAATTGCGAGATATGATAAGGAATATTCAGAGAACTGTTCAAGACCACAATGCTCTGCTCTATAATAGAGGTGAGGAGGAACAAAGGAGACAAGAGGAAGCTCATGAGAGCAGATTGGAACCATCTCATGTTTCTAGTAGTAGACCTGGATCATCTGGGACGAGAGTGGATGGAGATGTTAAAGGGATGGCTATTGATCGAGCATAGAGGACTTTTTCTTGGTTTAACCCTCCAACCTTTAATGGAACTATGAAGGAAGGAGAAGCGGAAAAATAGATAAAGAGAGTTGAAACCATCTTTGTGGTGGTACTGTGCTTTACAGAATAGAAGGTGATCATAGCCACAGTGTATCTGGTTAAAGATGCTAAACACTAGTGGAATTTTGCAAGACCAGTAGATGGATGCCAACTAACATGGGAACAATTCAAGGAAATATTCTTTGATCATCATTTTCCTCCAGCATTTAGAGATGAGAAGGAGGCCGAGTTTCATGCATTTCGACAGGGAGATCTTGATGAGGAAGCATTTATCCAGAAGTTTAATTAGCTGTTAAAATTTTCTACTTATCTGAATGAGACCAATGATAGTGAGTGGAAGGCCAGAGGCTTTTGGAAAAGATAAAGCCTGAATATAGACAGCAAATTGCTCTGCTAGGAGTCTCTAAGAAGATGGGTTATGGCCTAAGTAGTTCTGCAGCACTGGGCAAGAAGAGCTTTGTCAAGGTAGACATTACAGCTATGAATTGAATCTTGGACTAGAGTATGGTTGAACTATTAATTTGAGCTTAATGTTAGTTTTATTTACTTAATCTTGTTCTTATTTATCTACTTAATGCTTGGCTATTATTGAGTATGAATTCATGAGTTTAGGTTTTGCCTTGGAAGAGGAAAATCTAGATTAGACTATTAGATTGAGTATTGTGGGATTAGGATTATTTTTAATTTGCAAATAGCGAAGGAATATACCTATTGAACCCAAATAATTACATTAAAGTGAGTTTGTGCCTTTGTGCCTCTTGGATAATTGTTTGAACTGTTTAATAATTATAAAATAAAAAATAGAATTAAAAGTTTTAAATTTGAACTGTTTAGAATCTAAACAGTCCGGATATCATTAGATAATCAGCTTAGTCGTAATGGAGGGATGGCGATGGCTCATACGAGAAAATTAAACCTGATTCCTTCCAGATAACCCGCACAATGTTGTGCAAAGCATATCTTTAGCAGATAGTATAGTTGATCTTATTTAAAAAAAAAAAAAACAGATAGCATAGTTGAATCATGCATGTCTTATTCACTCTCTTAAAATATTTCATTATGCCTTTAATTAATTAATAAATCTTTCAATGGAACTTGATTCTCACAATCTCCAAAGAAAAGGATGGGATTACCAATAGAAGCATTCAACAAAGCAAGCAAAATTACAAGTTTATTTTCTGCTGCAAAAGCACACTACCTCTAAGCAATAATAAGAGAATCATCATCAAGAAGAAAGACCTTTGAGAAAAATAGCAGAAAAAGCTTCCATTACAGTTCCGTTCAACACCAACCCAAACTCAATACCTCCATTGCCATTACCACTTTCTGCAAGAGAAATAGCTCCTGTCCTGTCTATAGAAACAATCTCCACCTTCTTGGGCCTTCCCAATCCAAAATCATTACTGTAAACTTGAAATCGTGGTGATCCTGCAGCTGAAAACATTCTGTAAGTATCAGTCAGTCCAAAAGTTTCCATATCAGATATCCATGTTTCTGCTACGCTTAATATCGCTTCATTATCCAATCTCTTTAAAGCTTCACTTATGGCCTCAAGAGCAGTGATGAACCCATTATCCCCAAGCAAGTTCTTCGTTTCAGCCTCAGCCTTAGCCGCCCCAATACAGTTTCCAAAATATGCAGATGGAATCGGAGGATCCAAACGAGATCTACAATCCGCACTGAATAGGAACATCACTTTTTCGTGTTTTGTTTGTTCTGCTTTGACCAAGCAGTTCAACACATAGGCAAATGTTACTGAGAAGGTTGATATATGAAACTTGTTGTTATTCAGCTTAGACTCTGCAGATTTCTTAAGCTTTTGAATATTCGAAGGAAGTAATTCGAATGTCCCCCTTATTAGCTTCCCTTGATCTGTTTTCTTCAAGTCCCACAACATCAAGCTTCTGTTGTTTGGCCCACCTTGGTTTAACCAAAAATTCGCGAATATCTCAGCAATCCCTGCCGGATCTTTGATCACTGACCTGTCAAAGGATGGCCTCATATTCTCCGGCAAAGATGAAACCGATGACGATTCTCCGAGATTAGAGCAGAGGTAAGCCCATGACTTCATGAACAAAGTTGATGTTTTACCGTCCGCGGTTGCATGATGGGTGGTGATTCCAACAGAGAACCCAGAGTTGGGGAACAGAGTTATTTGCAGACTCATGAGAGAAGCTTTTTCATCAGAAACAGGCAAGTCCGGTACCAGAAGGCGGATTTCCTCGGCTTCTGCGAAGTCTGACCCAGAAAGAAGGTAGAAATCGGCGTTCGATTCTGCAACGGTGAGTGAGACGCCGTCTCCGGGAACGTAGCGGATGGAGGGTTTCCGAGAGTGAGGTGGCCATAAGATGTTGCCGGCGAGAGGAAGAAAGTGGTGGAGACTGTGAGAGAGAGAAAGTTTGAGTTTTGGAAGAAGGGAATGGAAGAAAGAGGAAGGTGGGTGGGGGAATTCGTAGAAGAAAAGACGCTCGACAGGCGGAAATCTCATCCACAGTACGTCAAAAAAGGTGAGCGGCAGAGAGGTTTCCGATGCGGCGGCTTCCCCTGGCGGCGCCACTCGGCCAGCTTCAAGAACTTCCATTGATTCTGGTTTCGCCATTAGGTGAAGGAAAGAGCGGGTACCAAATCTGTTGTGCTTCTCTGCAATCTTCCAGCATACTCCCTTAAATGTTTGAAAGTATAAAATATTTTTAATTTTTTAATTATTATTTTTTTTAAATACCATAATTTTATATTTATTATGAGTTATTTAATAAAAATAAATATAAAAAATATGATTAATTTAAAAATCAGTAACTACTTTATTAGATGATAAAATTTAATTAAAAAATATTTTATATTTTTAAACGAAGAGAATATATAATAATTATTAATGTTATACGCTTGGTAAAAGTAGGTTTTGAAATAAAAATAATTTTAGACGAAAATATATTTTATATAAAAAATCATATAATCTTTATTTTTTTAATAATTAATTAATTATTTATTTTTGTCATTTATTAAAGTTATTTTAATTTAACAAAAAAATTAACTGATATGGGAGGATTAGAATATTATAATATACTCTCTCAGTTAAAAAATTTAAGGCATTTTTTAAAAAGATGAATGTTTAAAAATATGAAGTATTTTTAGTTTTTCGAGGTGTAATCATTATTTTTTTCAAGAGTGCCCCTATTGATAATGACTTTATATTTATTTTAGAGTGTTTTATAGGAGTACATATGAAAAGATAGGGTTGATTGAAAAGTAGGTAACTATTTTCTTGAATGGTGATATTCTGTTAAAAATACCTTATATTTTTAAACAGAAGGAGTAATATATATCCCAGGGATACTTTTATTTTTCAAAAAAGTAAAATATATGTCTAGAATATGTATGTATTTACTTATAAGAAATTATAAAAATATAATTTTAATTTAAAAAATATTCAAACTAGTGTATTTATATTTTCTTTTGAATACTAATATAATACCAAGCAAAATATATTGTTTGTATTTTTATGTAGGTTTTTTTTCCTCTAAAAGTCATGTACTATGATATTTTTATTTGACCTAAAAGTATGTGATTTTTTACTCTCTCTCTCTCTCTCTCTCTTTTGCCACAGTAATTTTTTACATGAATTCATGTTTGTGATTAAAATTTAGGCAAAATTACGAATAGGTTTTATATAGTATACTTATTTATAAATAAAGTTTGTAAAATTCAAAAACTGTAATCAAGTTTTGTGAAACTTAAGTGTAAATTATGATTGGAGTATAATGACAATATTGCCCCCTATTAATTTGATTTTTACTTGCAATCCTAAATTTACAATTTATAAGTAAAAATTCATAATTTACAAGTTAAATTTCTTATTTAACTTTTGATATAATATAGAGTCTTTATAAAATTAATTATATTTTCTTAAGCTATAATTATATGGTGAATTATGAGTTTTACATCTTAATTAGATCAATTATAGCCTTAAGTATACATAATTAACTTTATAGAGACTCCACATAAGTTGCAGTTGTAAATAAAAACTAGATTAATTTGGGCAATATTGTCTTTATACCTCAATTATAAATAACAATTGTAGTTTTTAAATTTTATGGGACTCATTGGTAAATAAGTTTACTGTGTGGGATTTTTTCATGATTTTATTTAAATTTATGTGATTATTTCTTTCATTTAAAAATATAAAGTATTTTCAATCGAATCATATTTGTCAATAAATTAGCTAATTGACTTCAAAGTAAAACTATTTTTCTATAACTACCCTAATTTAATAAGGTATTTAACTTACAAGTAAATATAAAATGATTTATTTATTAAAGATATTTTTAAAATATTAAAAATATATTGTATTTTTAGTATCCAACCTTTAAAAAAATATTTTAGATTTTTTAATCAATGGAGTGTTCAAATATTTCTTAGAAAAGTCACGCTTTCTTCACGGGCAGGAAATGAACTCGACCTCTGAAGACAACAAAAACAAAGAAAAATAAACTTTGAACAAGAATTGGTTTTTTGGCAAACACTTTGAACAAGAATCCAAGCACGACTTTAAGGCATAGCTATTGTGCCATTCGGGTTCGGCCATCTTCCAATTCCTTTTTATTTCTTTCCAATTTTCCAACTTTGAACAAGAACGTTGGTGAAACGAAATCATGTCTCTATTATAAGATATTTTCAATTTTATAATTGGAATCAAGAGATAAGAGTAAACTCATTAAATATATTAAAATGAAAAACATTTCTAACTTCATACATATTAAAATAAGGGAGAGAGATTTGCACAACATGCAATGAGTCAAAAATTAAATTTTGGGGCAAACTTAGAAATGGTAATAAGTAAACATCAATATGCCTTACTCTCCCTACTCCTGTATATAAGGTGTTTTTAAATCAATCTTACATACTAGTATAAATTTATTATTTTGATCAAAAAATAATAAAAATTTATTATTTAGTTAGAAAGCATATAAAACCACATAGTTTTCCAGCTTTGTCACTATAATGTCACAATTAATATCATGGTAGTGGATAATAAAGCACACACTTAATATCTACTTCCCTTTTAAAGACAATGGCAAAATTTTCTAGTTATTCAAAAATATTATAACACTCCTTATATTTAATAATAAAATAAGCTTTTATAAAACACCATATATGGGATGGAGGGAGTAAATTAAGGGCCTAGGAATTTTTCTAAAATGTGCCCAATAATTAGTACAAGAAAAACATAATTTTCTCTCAAAAAAATTTTGAGAGAAAACAATTAAAATTTGAGAGAAAAATACTTTCTCTCATATTTTCTCTCATGGAAACCTATAGAATTTGAAAAACATTCAAAATAAGATGTAAAAAGGAAATTTTCACACAATAAGGCATGTTTGTTGCGACTAACAATGCATCCACTATGGCTAACAACATTGAGGCTATCTGTTGTTGTGAAGCTTGTAACATCCTGATTTCTATATGGAAAATTAATTGAGAAAAGTGTAGATAATTATGATTTAATTGAGGATTTAATGGTTGAATTATGTATGATTAAGGTTTGTTGTGGTTAATTAATTGTTTACTTGCTTAATTATGATTAAAATTGGGTCTAGGATCATGTATGAGGGTTATTTAAGGTTCAAATTAGGTCTTAGGTTGGATTAGGGTCTAAAGTATTGGACTTAAGTGAAGATCCATGAATTGTATAGTTTGCCACGGTGAAGAAGGCATTTGTTGTAACCCTCCCTCATATCCTTCAATATATGAGAAGATTAACATAATTACTACTTAAACACACCAATTAGTAATCAAAGAACCTATTTAAAAAGCTTTGGCCAAAAATTTATTTGTAAAATCATCAAAACCATACCATATCAGAGCATTGTACAACAAAAGACAAGAAGTTGCATTCATAACATTCATTGCATCCCCTAAAAACCATGAAATCATATTGGAAATTAAGGGCCATGCATTGTGGAGTGTAGTACATGCGCGGCGACATGTGGTATAGAGCCACATGCCTAACTTTTTGTGTTATACGTCGCGATGTGAGACACCATGCATTGTAGCACACTAGTTCAAAATTTCTGCTATCATTTTAACAGTAAAATGATGAATTCTAGCGTGTGTCATTTTCACATACGACATTCGATTGGAGTGATTCAAATATCCATACAAAGCTTATCGTATAAGCTAGCTAATGAGATAGGTTTGGGCATGATATAACGGTCTGATCAAAATTTAAACACTCGAGTATAAATATTTTTCAAAAAATTTACGCACCTAAGTGTTCAAATCGATCCCTTTCTCTCATTAGGCCACACAAGGCCTTGAACTAAGTCAAAATTAAACACAAAATATCACATATACACATAGATATCAAAATTTAACCCCTCAACCTTTTATAAAACAACACACTTTTACACATCTTGGCCAACTTGGCCATTTTTCTCAACACATTCACATAAAATCACAACCATAACATATTTACTACTCAATCTTAACCCCAATTACTCATTTCATCATAATTTCACATGTGGACTTAAGATTCACTAACCTTTGCAACATTTTCAACACATACACATCTAATTCTTACCCCTTTGATTCAATTTACCACATATATATACAATTGGGCTAAAATTTCACAAAATTACAACTCAAAACATGCATGCAACCCGATGGAAACTTATATAAATATATATGCTTAAGTGATCAATACATTACACAAACTCGAAAGGTTTTAATAACTATGGCACCACTATATTAGTCCAGACTCTCTTCCTTCGTCCTGATCACGCTCTGTCTTGTAAAATGTAACTACAGGGGTGAAATAAAAATCTTAATAACAGAATAACTTACTCCTATTAACTATCACATGAAACTATATGAAAGTAAATCATAATATAACATTCAAATCTTATTAATATAGCATTTATATCACATATCTCATTTCAAATCACATCATATAATATATTTCACCACTTTTCTAACATAAGCATTCCATAACATCCCATAGCATGATCAATACTGACCAAACCTCCAAATTACCTTAAAATGAAACCATAGACTCGCCTTAGACTAATATACCACCTCATTGGCCCTGAGCTCACCTTTAGTGGTAGAATTACCTACTCAAAGGTTTTCTACTCACTTCTAGACTATGGTTTCTTCCAATACACACAGTGGGGTGTCATTGATTCCAATACCATATCATACACACATTAAGGAGTTTGATATCTCTAACACCATACCTCAACAAGCACTAAGGAGATCTTTTCCAACATTGCACCATAAAAAAGCACTAAGGAGGTATACTTGTCTAACACCACACCTTGTCAAGTATTAAGAAGAATATGCCATATAATCTTATCACCATCTCTCTACTCGGGTGAACTCCTACCCCTATGATTATACTTTCTAAACCATTTAAGGTTCCTCATCACCACTTTACATGTTTTCTCATTCATAACACACACACACACACACACACACATCAACCATATGAAATCACATTTTTCAATCCTTTTATCCAATCAAAAAGTCATTTCATACAACATTCATAAAATGTCATAAATCATGGTTAGTTGAAAACCATTTCATACACTACATAGCATACTCACGCATAGTTACAATAATAGTTAA